CCCCAAAACCCCAAAACCCCAAAACCCCAAAACCCCATATAAAGATGTCAGCATTGACTCATAATAATTTTTTATGAAAACTAGTGCTTATCTCAAAACATCTAAGGATACACTTTCTCAAGAATGAGATGCTCTATCTTCCAGTGATTTCGATGAATGCAGCACTTCTGTGCAATCAGTCAGAATTTCGGAGAGATCTGAAAACATTCTCATATTTAATAAAGGGAAGAGAAAAGACTTAAGAAGAGCTTTCACTTTTAAAGAATCATATAACTCAAACAACAAAAATTTGCAAGTCCTAAATGGAGGCCAAAATAAAGCGAAATTAGATCAATTTAAAATAAAACCACTAAAGAAGTCTGGGGAAGACAGTAAACTTTCTTCATGCCGCCTTGAAGATCCAACCTACAAAAATACTACCTTTATTAGCCGAACTGAATTTAGCAAAATACTCAAGATAATTAATAAAGGATGGACGAGCTTTCCTCAATTCCTTCATTTCAACAATAACATGCCATATGCTAGATCAGATTTAAGGAAGATTCCGTCAGAGATGATTTTAACAAGTCTCTTGAAGCCTGCCCAAGAGTCTACAGTCAGAGATAACTAATTTCAATAAATAAACTTTACTTTAAATCTTTATTTTCTCCATTTCTGCATAGAAAATTGTTTCTTTGGGAACTTTATTAAGTTAAGTTGGGAGATGTCTTTTCCAAAATAAACAGTACATCAGAATTGATGAACTTTATTAAAGGAAAGATACTTGAAGGCCCTGTATTAAATGTTAGCTTGTCATGTTCTTCACTTGAAGATCTAAAACTTAATTAACTGGCTTAGCCCATGTTTTGGCAAGGTTCACCTGCTCACCAAATATTTCGAAACTCCATAAGATTTATTCCATTTTCTAATTTATTAGTGAAGATTGAGTACAAAAGCAGATTTACTCTCTCAAGTTTGGAGGTAAGGCAGTCTAACAGTTTGGAGAGTAGATAAATATGCTCATTGGAAATAATTTGTGATGAATTCCTTCATTTAACTGTATTTTAAATCCTTTATAAATCTTATCAAAAATGTTCCTAGATGTGAGCATGATATCTTTTAATGCCCGAATTATTAGTTTACGATTTTATGAATAAGCAAGTCGTAAGCTATGGTTATAAATATTCTTCATTTTTATTTGGAATATTGATATTAGCATTTAAATAAAAAATTTTGAACAAAATAAGTCTCCAAACATTGTGAAGTCTTCTGCATCCAAGCATCTTATTTTAAATTAGCAGAGTCTAAAATCTGCAAAATCCTAAATCTCTCACGATTTGTCTTATTGAGTTCTCTAAATGACGTCTACTGCATAAAGTTAATAAATCTTCTATTTCTTATTAAAATAAGATTTCCCCATACTTATAGAACTCTGTGCAAATTCAATAGGCCAAAATCTTTTTACTTCAGACTCTAAATTATTTGTATCTTAACTTAAATACTAGTCTTAGTACTTTCATAAGAGTATGGTTGCGTTATTTCTTCTATAGAGCTCCTTGAAATATAGACTAGAAAATATTACCAACTTGCTTTTAGAAGCTCAAATATTTCTCCTATTATTTGTACTATAAATCACTTTGGATTTAAAGAACTATGAAGAATGTTAAGGAGAGGACAGAGTAATTTATTAGCTTAGATAATTCCGAAATGTTTAGTAATAAAGTCTACCTCACGATTTCTCCAAATGTTAAACAATTGTTTCAAAAATGTAGTGGTGATTAATTCCTAGTATTTATGAAGAACAAGGCATCCAGTAAATTACTTAATTAAACTCTCAATAATAAAAATGAACTGCAAAAGAGACCACACTCTTCTAAGTACGACTCTTTATGGGATAAACTCTTATCCTTAAAGGAATCCTTTATGAATGTATTCTAAAAAGTGAACTGAATAAGAATTTTCTTATTTCATGACCAAACTAAAGCTATCAAATTATTCACCTTTTTATTTAACACTGCTGAATAAAGCCTAGCTTTCTCCATCTGTTCTATAGCCATACTTGCTATAGAAGCATCAAATGATAAAATGAGTGCTGAAATGTCGGGAACCTGTAATCTCAGGCTAAGAAAAAAGTTATCTACTAAATTACTAGGAGTAATAACTTTAGTACAGTTTAGTGAATAAGCTTTGTGGAATGTTGGGGTGGGCTCTAATGAAGGTAAGAATATAGCTCTTGTATACTATTCTAAGAAGCTTGAAAGAAGAACAATCCCTGGCCTTTTATATGAAATAGAGTAATCAAAAGAGTAAAAGAAATACCTCTAGTTCAGTTTGAACATTTTATCGGCCTGATAATAAAATCACCAATATTAGTATTACCCAGCCAATCGTAAAAGTACTATTTAATTTAAATTATTCTGAAAATATTCTTTTACTTAGAAATAAACCTGGATGAAATCGGCTAGTCATAAGAAATATGCTTATTAAACTACAAGTTAAGAATAAAGTGAGAGAAAAATACTGGCAGAAATAGCTGAAATATTGATATCTCTTCATTACAAAGGTCCTAATAATACTGCTATATCTAAAAATGCCTAAAAGCATACTTATTTAAATCATTGTTGACTGGTGACTCATTCCAAAATTTTACCAGAATGGGATTATTGTGTTAATATATGGTTAAGAATTGAGAAGTATTCGTATCGATACTTTTCGACATTTATCATTAAATCATAAATCTTCTTGAGCTAAAAATCATTCCTTGTAAGGATCGATCGGAGGTATGCAGACTTTTCAACAGCCAGCATGCCCACTTTCATTGGAGAATTATAAAATCGTACTTTAGTGAGTAACTGCAACTAAAATGCTCTAATAGGCTTATTTCTTGCATTTCATAAGCATCTTTATTAACAAAATTGTCATCTCTGACTTTTACTTCTAATTAGCATTAAGGCTTGGGATAGTTTCATCCCTTTAATCCTTTTTAGCAAGTTCTCAGGTTCCTTCAAATATTACGTCCTCTCTTTTCGTAAAGCTTTTGTTTCTAAATTCTTATTGGTGAAATTTGGAATCATAAAGCTAACTCATAACTAAAGAAATTCGGAATCGAAATTTCACCATGGTTGCGGCTGTTTCAATTCTTTCTATTATTTCCGGGGTTTTGGGGTTTTGGGGTTTTGGGG